CATACCTCTGACATCATGTGACCAAACTGATCATCCAAGTCATGCTCTGGCAATAGATGGAAGACAGAACATGGAATACACACCCACACCAGTCTCTAACAAAATTTTAGAAAAAAAAAAAAAATCCACAGGCACAAGCATTTCCCCTAAAACTGTTCCCTTCAAATTTTATTCGGTACCCTCTATAAGTTTTCTTTATAACTTTAGAATTTGTACAGTTTCATGTACAAAGATTCCATATCTCAAGGGAAATAATTCCTTGTATGAAGTTTTCATATATCAGTATTAGAACAGCAGCATTTGCACCTGTGATATTTAAAAAAATCCATTGGACAAACCATGTAGAAATAAGTATGCAAAAATTGCAACAAAAACATTTAAGTAGCCAAAATTAAAAAGATCCTTGTGTGAATCTACAGTCTTGCTTGATTCATACTAGGCTATTGCAGCCAAGTAATCTTTAACTTCAGTTGGAGTAAGCCTTCTAAATCCTGCTTCATTACAGATGCCAACTTCTATGTTATCTTCTGTCATTTGCCCTTCAAAGCTTTCCTATTAAACAGAAAAAGAAAATTTACTTTGCTATACCAGTGATCTAATAAAACAGTAAAACATACTTGTTAATTCTCTCTCTCTAACCTTTAGTGTTAAGATAGCCGTATGTATGGCATCCTCAAGTTCCAAATCTTCATTGTATCTGTATAAATGAGATTAATATTTTAAATCTGCAAATTACTGAATTGTCTCAAAGCCCATGATACACAATTTATTTCAAGCTTTATACGTATAACCTGAATTAGCATTTTACTTGTTAGCTAAACTGATGGCACTGAACATCAGACTTGTTAGCCAAATTGATGGCGCACACTTATAAGACTGCCAATACACATTTTTTCATGCAACTGTGCCTCCCCTCTGTACAAAAGCCAACAAATGAGTAACAAACACAAACAACCCCCTACAAAAACCTAACAACTTTCTGGTACCCTTCTTTAAACATGTTGTTATTAAAGCTTTTAAACAGTTTAAATGAATACATATTGTAACCTAGCTGTGATATTCCAAAACTTGGAAAACACAGATGCACATCTATATTTTTCTAAATTCTTTTGGTAGGCTCTACAAGCATTACCTTTTTTCAAGAAAAGTTTTTCCATTCACGTAATTTTTTCCCATGGCTGTTGCTTTCCAAGCAAAGTAAGCTCCCTGTACAGATGAAAACATTAGCCCAGTTACATGACAATTAAAACGCTTAACTATGGATTCATAAAATACACTACTTTTTATGAAATCTTACTGACTTTTGATATTTGGACTCTCTCACAACCACTCTGTTTGAAATACTTAAATGTGTACTGTTAAAAATACAAATATTTTTTTTTTTAAGATATGACATACCTTCAATGTTCGTTTGACATTTCCCTTCATTTTTAAAAGGTAAATGTGATATAGATCTCCAAAAATTAATGCATTCTCAATTTGGAATTAAACAAACGGTGAGATGTTTGCACCATTAGGAGTAAGACTGAAATACGTTCATCAGACCTACTTGCGCAGTGCAGTCAACACAATATTCCTGATGAACAAACGATAAAACTGAATAGCTATTTTGGGACTGATTCTATACATTAATTTAGCATGGGGCTACCCACGGCTTCATACAGTCCTCAACCAGGGCAAGGACAGCTTTTGATGCCATTTGGAGTCAGATGCACGAGTCAGAAAGAGAGTATATTCTTACATTTCCAAGAAAATAAAGCTTTATTAGACCCTGCATTTTGTTACTATGCTAGATTTTAACTACTGAAGAGCTCAGAGTCATTAGTACAACTAATTTTTTTCATGAAATACGAGGTGTTACATACAAAGTAGTCTGAGCATAAATTAGCTATTCACATATAGAAAGCTTTACATCTCTTAAGACGGAAACTGTTTACTCACATGAATTAAATCATTAAATTATTATATGTAAACTAGTTTTCAAAGTTTAATCATAACTTCCTAAAATTTAGGTTAAACTTCAGATTCCACATTCCATTCTAGAAAGATGACATTTCACAAATCCATTTAATGCTTAAACTTCTTTGTAAAAATGCTGGATTTCAGAATAGCAAGACAGTATGTATTTGATACTTACAGATGGATCAGACTGAAATAAATAGGGTCGCCCCTCATTCCAGCCACATATGAGCAATGATACTCCAAATGGACGTACGCCACTATGACGGGGGAAGGAAAAAAAAAAGTTATTGCTCAGATCAAAGAGTTGTTGAGATAGTCTGGATGTTTTTGCCTCAAGTAGTTATTGCTATATGCCTCCTCCTCATAACAGAATCAGGCTTTATATTAAAGAAATAAAAAAGGTAATTTAAAATACCTACTACTCTCCAATCTTTACACTTTCAAAATACTAACATTACATTCCACCTGTGACACACAGATCATTTTGTGATGTGGCTTCAGAGGCAACACATTTTAGAGACCTCTCTGGATTAAACAAAACAAGCAGCAGTTTCCTTTTGATATCAAGTATTTAATAATTATGCTTTACACTTATACGACATCCTTCCTCCAAGCACTAAAAACAAAACAAAAAAAACGCTCCAGAAAAATGGAGTCAGTAGATTAAGTAATTTTTTCAAAGCCTATTATAAGCCCCCCTGTGACAGAAAGGCAGAAATTCAGTTAAAGAGATTAACACTATTTGGTTAAACAAATCAAAATACTTCAAGTTGAGCAAGAGCGGCTTACCCAGACTGTGTGTACTCCTGCATCACAGAAGCAATCCTCTGTACTAGCTGAGCGGTTGGAATGGGCTCATGGTAAACCAAGTAATATTGTTGGGCCAGCTTCCGAGCTCTGTGCACAAGTACTCTAGAAAGCAACATAAATAGATTGTGTGAGACAATATCTATTATTAGAACTAAAGAAAGCTGTTCTACTGCAATGGTACTATGCTCAGGTAGTGGTTTTCAACCTTTTTAGATGCAAGACCCATCCCCTCCCCTCAGAAAATGTCAACTTTTAATTTATACTTCATTTTAACTATGGAAAAAATAAACATTTTTTCTGTTGCAAACAATTCAAAGACAACAACAGGTCAGAATAGTTTAATGCTATAGATTTCCATTTGAAATCTTTGGGTATTCTGCATCTTCAGAAAAACCAGACTGACGTAAGGAATTAATATAATTTCTATTGGAACACATTAAGTATCAGCGCAAAACACTCTTAGGCATTTAAGGACACATGAAACCATATCCAAGCTTAGATCATATTTCTTTCATAAACGTTTGATTCTCTTTATTAATTTGTCTATTCACTTAAGTGGAAACATGCCTTTATATTTATAATCCAATTGTTTCAGAGAGCATGCATATTTTAAACATATATTTTTCAGACAGTATATTACATTAGAGTCGCATTATACGATATGCCACTACCAAGTTTAGCTATTAAAGTGTGCTATATGCTGAAGAGACACCCAAGAACTTTAATAACTTTAAGAACAGATGTACAGGGAATGGGAAATCATAAATGGCTACTTTCACTGCAGCCTTCAATTTTCGTAAGTTAGGGAGATGCAAGTCAATACCAACAGATAGCTTTTCAAACTACAGCATTTTTCTGATACCTGTAATCAGGTCCCATGCCACTATACACCAAGCCTATGTGTTTGGTAATTGATTCTACTTTGTGTACGCTCCTTTCGTCATAGAGAATAGATTTCTGTTTCTTCTCAGTTGCCAACACAACACCATTTGCAGCTGGAAAGGTGAAAGAAAAAATACTTTGGTTTAAATATATAAAGGTTACCAGGAGCAACCAAAATTAAATAGATTTACTAATACATGAAGAATTTCTCTTCTTCCCACCAGATCTACAGATCTTATCATTCATCTAGGATGTTAAGCAATTATTTTTGAGACCTCCACTGCAACGCTTTCAAGTGCTCAACATGTGATCATATTCAATTTTAAAACAAAAAAAGAAAAAAAAAACATTTTTTTTTTAGTTTTTTCATTAGGTGCAATTGTTCCAGAAAACACACAAAGCAATGAGACACACCTACCCAGGGAACAAAAATGCTCAGATGTGTTTTTTTTCAGTAAAATCCTTCTCAATAAGTAAAATTATCAAAAGTTCGTAGTTCTCAAATAGCATTAAAGTCTTCTCCTCCCACTTTAAAACCCATTTCTCTGATAAAAATCTGTGCTATGAAACGTTACCCAGATAAGCATATGAAAATCCATTTAAGAAAAACAAATAAAGAAGGGCCATACTTTTTTTTTTCCCATTTGCCATTCTCTCTGCAGATCCCAACAAGGGGAAAGACAACAACATCAAATGCAATTTAATAGGCCTAAATCTATCCTAGTTTTCCCCATTGACAGTGGATCAGTCCATCACCCAATACTTTGAAGCAAACATCAGGTTAGTCATATTATCATACCTTTAATCCCAACAGATGGGGCTCCTGCAGCAACTGCTGCTAACGCATATTCAATCTGGACAAGTTTACCAGAAGGACTAAAAAGAAAAAAAAAAAACATAAGTGAGCTATATTATGGCTGAGCTCTATATCTTTAATGCATCAAAGTGAAATTTGTCTTTTATCATTTGCTTTTTACGTCCTGCATCTTAGCAGTGAATTGCATACATCACAGATGAAAACAGTTGTCACTTTCATGCTAGTTTTAAGAGGACTAGGACTAGTTTAGCAAAGAACTTACTGAGGCACAGCTCTTCCAGGAAACCTGCATACACCAGGCCCAGCCCCGTTTGTTCCAAGCAACTACAAAGCAGGTCCAAGAGGTATTTGTTTTTCCTCTCAACCTTGCCAATCCCCACCTCTTCCTTACCTGAGAGATTTGTATTTAACATGGTGCTTTCAGGATCAGGACATGAATTCTTAACAGACAGAAAGCAAAAGTGAAAGCCCCAAGACAGACTGCTAAACAAATCCTCTTTCTAATTTCATGGTATGCCTTTTCTTTTTTTAAAGGCCGAGCACCACAATATTCTGAATAACTAGAAAACCAGGCAAATGGCTTGCTGTAGAGTTACAAAAGTGAGATTAATAGGCCAATGCAATATCTGCTCCCTCTTGCTGAATGAAACAGCAGGGAAGAGAATCCACACACTCACATATTTATCCCTGCAACAAGAATTGGATCACATACCATATTTTCTCACATACAACATACCCTTTTCCCCCCTAAAATCTGCCCTGCCCCAAACCTAGGGTGCATCTCCTAGGCAAGGAGAGCAGCTTTCTACCAGGTGGATGGGGGAGGAATAGTAGCCCTCTGCTTTGGCTCCCTCTAGGCTATTTGAGCAGCTGGGGGAGTCGATTCACTTGACAACCAATTTTTCTTCACTTTATTAAAGTCAACCACCTGCTCCTCTTTCTAGTGTTTTCAGTGTTTCACTGAGTAAACAAACCCTTTCTCTGGGCAATTTTGGTGCCTGGCAGCTGCTCCTGTCGGCCTAAGCAGCACCAGGCAGCCATCACCCCGGGTGACCTTACTTTGGAAAGGCAAAATGAAGGGCCGCAGAAAGGGGGGGCGCTATATTCCAGAGCACGATGTAAATCAGACAATACGGTACCTCGCCGCCCGCCTCCGCGACAGTTATACACGAGAAAATACGGTGCCGGTCTCCACCGGCCAGGCCATGACGCTGCAAACCGTCAGCCTCCCCTCCGCTCCGCCCCGCCCCCGCCCCCGCGGCCGCGGCCGCAG